CTGTGATGCCCCGCACAGGGTGTACCCCATCTCTGTGATGCCCCGCACAGGGTGTACCCCATCTCTGTGATGCCCCGCACAGGGTGTACCCCATCTCTGTGATGCCCGCACAGGGTGTACCCCATCTCTGTGATGCCCCGCACAGGGTGTAACCCATCTCTGTGATGCCCCGCACAGGGTGTACCCCATCTCTGTGATGCCCCGCACAGGGTGTACCCCATCTCTGTGATGCCCCGCACAGGGTGTAACCCATCTCTGTGATGCTCCGCACAGGGTGTACCCCAGCTTTGGGACTTACTAACATCGTGGCTAGGGTAAATGCCAACTTAGTGCCCTGTATTTCCTGATATAGCCTACAGGCCCCCTGTACTGGATACGCATTTGGATGGTGTAGGGAGGGAGTGATGCATTTCATTTGTGATCATTACATTTTTTGCAGATTAACTGGAACTGAGTTGGTAAATGATAAATGTTGAATATGTGGTTATTTTATAATTAGCTGTTAATGCACAGTCCCATTATTTCCCCATGCCCCTGACTGTGTGTTCCCCGCCGGCGGCTCTCTGGCTGCCAACAGGAGTCCCCACACCCAAACTGGAGTGGTACAAGGACTCCGTGCCCCTGAGCAAGCTGAACAACCCTCGGTATAAGGTGCTGGGATCGGGCCTGCAGGTGCGGAAGCTGCATCCCAACGACGCCGGCATCTTCCAGTGCTTCGCCCGCAACTCCGCCGGAGAGACCCAGGCACACGCCAACCTCGTGGTCACAAGTAAGTTCATCTGCGACACTAAGCCCCGGGTTTCTGAAGCGTCTAATAAGACTGGTTTCCAGGGACGGAATACGAGCCTTTATGAAGTTTCGAGAAGGAGAGCCACTAGTGACTTCTACCCCATTCCTATCTGTAAGAATTATTGGAATCTTTAGAAATCATACAATGTGTATTATCACCTGCTGCTCAGCAGTCACATTGAATACAATTAATATACAGTTAAATTTAATTGTAGAGTATCTAGACGTGCCGCTGTGGCCTTACTTTGTTGAGGTAATTACTGAAGCATTTCACCAAAGGCTTTGATCCCGCTGCAGTTTGTCGTCGAAGGGCCTCTCTTCAGAGGTGAGGGAGGCCGCATCCACATATTGCACAAATAGGTGGGGGGGGGGGGGGGGCGGACAGTCACAAAGTATTGACCAATGGGTCAAGTAGAAGGGTCAACCGCTCTGTTCGGGTTCGACAAATAGAAAAGTAGTCAGCTGTTTCAGGCCAGAGAGACTTAGCTGCACTGACGAAGCTATCATTTGTAATCCCTGGTCAAACTAAAGTACTGAGTCTGGATATTTGTTTGCTCTCGTGTGACTCTCCCGCAAAAAGCTTCTCAATTTCCTGCAGGAACGCATGACGCTAAAAAAAAAATAAAAAATGATAAACAATGGTTTAATCACTGTTTCATTTTCCCTTAGCCAAATCGGCCTGCATCTCTGTCCACGTGCTGCTTAATAGACGTTTGCTCTCTAGCGCTGTGTATCATTTCTGGTTGGGTCCCGTGCGAATCCTATTAAATGCCGTTTTTGTAGTTTTTCATTCTGCAGATGATTCCCGGAGAAACGGCCGCGTCTAATGAGACACATCAACTTTTTCCTGCTCCTTCCCCTTCTGAGAAATGCTTCGCCCATCTTTTGTCTCGCCGTGATTTGTATTCTGTTGTGACTTATTGATCGTACCGTCCCGCACGCTATATTGATTAGCATAATTAAAACGCTGAGTGATGCTAAGTTTCCCCAGCCTCCTCATTTTCTGGCTTAGATATATTTTAAGATTATAAATAAATCATGTAGCAAATCATGTGGCAGTGACCGTCAAAAACTGCTTCTCAAACCCCTGTTCTGCTTCAGGCGTGTGTGTCTGTGTGTGTGTGTATCTTCATCTAATTACTGTATCCTGAGTGCTCCCCAGCCGGTTCTTAGCACGACGTTAAGTGCTCGTTAAGCACCTGGCACCCTTAGACCCTCACATCTGTACTGCGGAGGGATCCATGCGGATCACAGGGCACTGAAATCGCTGGGGCATCAGTCGGTACGCGCAGTCCTGCACACTGCAGGCCGTCCATCATCCTGGACATATATCATGCCCCTTTGTATTTCTCTCTGTAAGAGAAATCTGGAAGGTCTTACATCAGCTTGTAGTTGCACCCAGGCCCTGTTCACAGCTATATCTGCATTACCCCACCTGCATGAAATGATCTTGTCATATAGTCAATGGCTTCTGCCTCAGGCAGTGCCTGTCAATGAACTGTACATATAACCTCTGTTTGCTTTGATTTGAATAAGGGTGTCTGGTAGTTAAAGCTATAATTACTCCCTTGATAGAGACGCATCCTTTAACTCGAATCTCACATTCATCCATCTAACCATTCCTGTCCTTCACGTCTCTTTTTTCAGTAGCTGTGCTCTTTTGTCAGAAGGTTATTTATAAAAAAAAATACCCCTGAAGGGAAGACGTGACATTTGTTTGTTCATTTTATGCAGAGCAGTCTCGTTTCCAAGTGGAAAATGAGCAGGCAGTTTGCTAATTTCGATTAAAGGTTTCAGGTTTATCGCATAACCCTTTATATGGCACGGAAACCCAAAAGGACTCTGGCTCTGTACGTGTTCCTCTCCCCGCGTGAGCCTGAACCTGTTTTATATTCCTCAGGTATAGCGCCTTCTTTCACAAAGGGCCCCGCCGACATCATGGTGACAGACGGGGCCGCTGCCGTGTTCAGCTGCGAGGTTTCCGGAGCTCCGAAACCTGCCGTCTCCTGGAGGAGAGGTAACAGCCACCTGCTCACCCCCGATCAGCTTTACGAGGCCGCAGCTGGGCGGGCCCCCACCGCCGGGCCCCCACCGCCGGGCCCCCACCGCCAGCACCGCTTTCCATTTGGGGATTTATATGGTCACTGCTTTTCTTCAAGTGTGTGGGACTGTGCTTGTATTTTAAGCACTTCTACCTTCACAGGGAAATTATGAAAGCGCAAAATAATATACGGTTATACGGTTATAGGTTATACGGACGTTTTTATCCTGGTTAATTGTAGATTTCCAATCATACATGCTCATCTACAGTAATAAAATGTTTAATATTAGCAGTTAGTTTTTCCATAGGTTATATATACATTATATATGTTTTTCAATGTTTGTATTTCAGAGGAATTCATCCATAATTATGTGTTATATATATCACCATTATCTTGTAAAGTACATAATTAAATATTGGTATGCGCAATGACCCAGTGTACTAGTGAAGCCCCCGTAGCATGTCTTCCCCTGAACCCCCACCGGGGGCAGCACACACCCACCGCAGCCTGGGTCCGTGTCATGGCCGCCTCACACTCTGCCTCTGCCTCTCTTCTAGGTGCTCAGGTTTTGGCCAGCGGCTCGGTTCGGATCCCACGCTTCGCCCTGCTGGAGTCGGGGGGGCTGCAGATCGAGCCTGTCTCCCTGCAGGACGCGGGGAACTACACCTGCCTCGCCGGCAACTCGGAGGGCGCCATCAACGCCACCGCCTCTCTCACCGTCTGGAGTAAGGCTGTGACGAGTCCCGGGGGCTCAAAGGCTGAGACGCTGCTCTGCTTCTCAGATACAAGCCTTTTGTGAAGCTGCTCTTCTCGTTCCTTCTTTTATGGAGACGCCGCTGCTTTTGTTGCGTTTTTTTCCTCCATTCTAACGTGCTCAGCTTTCTCACAAACAATGAGATGAATCCTCGGTGTGTCCAGGCCGAGCGTCGGTTATGCCGGCCTGCCCCGTGCAGACATCTGAATAATGCTGTTTGTTGTGCAAATGAATAAATAATTCAGTGGCCAAAAAGTTAATGCTGACAACTGATGTCTCACTGGCATTTCAGTAGAATTATACATTCTCTTTACCGGAGCTGTATTTCGCAGTTTTTTGGCCACGCACGTCTATCACGCTTGTAGTTTCTCTCTTGGAACGTTTCCAGAGAACCATTAAAAGCCGCAATTTAGGAAGCTAGGGTTTTTTTTCATATTCAGTGATAGGATGGTTCCCCCCCCCCCCACACCCTGATGTCTACCCCCATGATTCTCCAGGTCGCACCTCCATCTCCCAAGCCCCGGAGGACCAACGTGTCATCAAGGGCACCACGGCTGTGCTGGACTGTGGAGCCACCAGTGATCCACGAGTGTCCATGAGGTGGGAAGGAAATGCTCATTGGTCATTTACAGAGCATTCCTCTGCATGCAGTTTTTGGTGGTCCCCAACCAGCCTGAACCACTAGAGCTGCTTTGCCCTCCCCAGATATGTGTGGAAGAAGGATGGAGCTGTGGTCCGGCCGGCCGGCGGGGGCCGAGTCAGCTTTAAGGAGGGCTCTCTGCACATCAGCCAGACCTGGTCAGGAGACATTGGCGACTATACCTGCACGGTCCTTTCGCAGGCTGGCAATGATTCCAAGTCGGCCCGTCTGGAGGTCATGTGAGTGATGCACACTCGTCCTGCGGCGGCGTCTAGCTTCCACCCAAGCTGTGCTGCACACATCACGCATTCTCCCACTCCCCGTGCCCCGCCTCCTCCGAACCAGAATGCCGCACTTTTATCTAAGTCGTTACACGGAACGGCCACTGGGCCCCGAACGCAGCACCCTTCCCCCATTACCTCTGTCCTCGCTTTCAGGAGGTTCCCGCCTGTTTCCATATTTCCTCAGACTGCATCTCGGCTCTTTGGCGGATGTGTAATCTGTGGGTTAACAGGGAGGCGCTTTTATTTCATGCCAATATAGCAAATTCCCTAAAGGGGCAGTGATGCGCGCTGTTGTGGAGGACGCTGTTTGTGTCAGTGCTCCCTCCACACCCTCTCACTGCAAGTTCAATTGGCCCCCATATCCAAGGACCAAAGAAGCAGTTTAAGTCTGGCCAGTGTGGGTAGTAAAGCTTGATTGAATTTCTTTAGCGAGCTGTACTTTCCTTCTGAGGTGCCAGTTAATTTATGATAACTTACAGTTGCTCTGGGGCATGCCAGTCGGTGCCTATTGGCACGACTCGTTCTTTTATGTTCATCTGGAGGATTCGCTGATTCTGGAAAATATTACTTGTGCATTCGGTGGGGTAGCTGACTTGGAGAAGGGGGTCCTCACAGTGACACTCAGCTGCAACTCTGGGAGAGTATCTGTTAGGCAGGTCTATAGGAGTAGCCAGTTTTATTGAACATTAGCTTCATGTCTGTAGGAGTAGCTTATGTTGGAATACGTTAGTTGTGTGTCTGTAAGAGAAAGTGATGTCGGAGACCTTTAGTTGTGTGTTTAAAGGTAGCTGATGTTGGAGGATAGGTGTATGTCTGTAGGAGTAGCTGATGTTGAAGACCATTAGTTGTGCCTCTGTAAGAGTAGCTGATGTTGGAGAACATTAGCCTGGTCAGTAGGAATAGCTGGCTTTGGAGAACATGAATCTCATGTCTGTAGGAGTAGCTGATATTGGACAATGTTAGTTGTGTGCCTGTAGAAGTAGCTGGCTTTGGAGAACCTTAGCCTCATGTCTGTTGGAGTAGGTAGCATTGGAGAATGTTAGCTAGGTCTGTAGGAGTAGCTGATGTTGGAGAACATTAGCCACATGCCTGTAGGAGTAGCTGCCTTTGGATTATGTTAACCTTGTGTGTAGGAGTAGCTGATGTTGGAGAACATTAGCCTGGTCTGTAGGAGTAGCTGGCTTTGAAGGACTTTAGCCTTATGTCAGTTGAAGTAGGTGGTGTTGGAGAATGTGAATTACGTGTCTATAGGGGTAGCTAACATTAGAGATTGTTAGCAGCACCTCTGGATGGATAGCCAACGTTGGTGAATATTAGCTTATTAGCTGTGCATCTGACGTGTCATGTTAATGCATTTAAAGTTTTAAAATTTAGCGTAGCAAAAATAAATAAATAAAGCTTTTTGGGTTATATAACATGTTGCGTAATCACCTCTTCTTTGTATGAACTGCAGAGCCATCTCCCCCGCTTTGTATTCGGCATAAATGTCTTAAGGTTGAGAATTGCATTTTAACACTCGGCACTGGACAGATGTGCCCCGTGAGAGAGACAGAGGAACTGATCCCTTCTCGTCACCCCTTACATCCACCCCGTGGAAGCGGCCCAAAGCCAGGACGGCTGTCCCCTCGGGATGCCCCCCCCCACAACCTGCGCGCTCTGGTGGAGAGCCAGTAATGTGAAGAATATGCCCTGTAGCCCGATTTGTTTTCATCTGTTTACTTATTGATTTCATTTGTATCTGCTTGAATAACGAGCTCAGGCTTGGCCGGCCAATGACATGATGCACCTTAATGGCCAAATCATGCGATTAGGGCGTCCCGTATGTGTTTCCTATCTTCTAGAGACAGCGTAATTAATTGGGAGGGGGGCTAGGAAGACAAAGCTGGATGAAGTGGTATAAAATATCTCCCCCCCCTCCTTTTTTTAAGGGAGCGATTGATGGTAAACAAGTAATAGGATTAAACCTGGGATGTAGGCAAGGGCGTAGGTTTGACTTTGGGGGGGACACAACTTAATAATTTAAATTCAAATGTCTATTTATTGAGGGGGGGGGGGAATGGAGCCAGATTAAATGTTGTGGGAAATACATCCCCCCCTTCCTATTCCCCTGGATGTAGGATTGTCTGTTTGGCGAAAGTCTTCCAGAAGGCATATGTGTTCATGCGTGTGGCATTGTGTGCCCAGTGCATCCTGGGATAGGCTACAGGCTAGCTATGCCCCTGTGCCTATGGAAGATGGATGTAGGGTTGTCTGTTTGAAAATTGTCCTTGGAAGGACAAAGTGTGCCTGTGTCTGTGTGTTTTTGATAGTTAGTTTATAGTCTTTTACTTTTGGGAGAACATACCCCAGAAAGCAGCCCAGTCAATCAATGAGTCCTTTTGACAAAGAGGACTTTAATTCTCTGCAACTTCCTCACTTTTTAATAAAATATTTCTGCAATATCCAGAGAGCGGCTTCATAAATTAATAATTACTGTTGGAGAGCATAGTTTTTAATTAAACTTTATCTCTGAGGAGTTAGACATTGCTTAGACAGGTAGATATTGCATTAATCACTTATAATATATTTATATGGCAAGTTAAAACTATTCAAATTAAATATGAAAATGTGTATTAGAGTTAAAATGCTGTGCCAGTAAATTAGATTTTTTATTTTACCAATTTGGCTGTTTTCTTTTTAACTTCTTTTTAAAGTTACACATTTCTCAGTAGTGCAAATATTAAAATATATATTCTGTCAGCAGAGATCCTAAACCAAACGTCATGTAATTAAAAACACTTTTTAGTATGTTTGGTCAGTGAGATTGTGGGCTGATTTTGTTTGCTCTGTTACTCTACCGTAAATGATGCAGACTGTGATGCTTTCCTAAATATAATTTCCTGTCTGCTTTGGCTGTCTGTGGAATCCTGATCATAAGTTGTTCTGACTTTAACTTTTCACGAACAAACGACATAAAGCAGTGTTTCCCAACTGCTGGAGAAAAGGATGTCATCAGACAGTTGTCTGTGGGTTGTGGAGTGTAGAGATGCACCGATCTGATATTCGGATCAGTATCAGCGCCGATCCAAACCTATTATACGGATCGGGTATCGGCCACATGTGACCGATCCACGTCCGATACTTACTTATTTCATTTTTTGAAGTCTCTAAAAAGATAGCTCCTATTTCATGATAAACCGATTGTACAATCAATCGGACGACAGCTCTTTCCCATTTTAGATGTTTTTTGCAGCATTCAAGCTGAACAGTAACGCTGCCTCTCCGTTATTTTACTGCACAGTGGGGTGAGTGCAGTGACTTCGGCCTGCTGTGACGTCACGCGCATACTGTACCCTTTGCAGTAGGGGGAGCATAAGAACATCAGATAAGAGGGTAACAATTTGGAAGTATTTTGCACTATTACAGCAACTAGTAGCACAGCGATTTGCAGTCTTTGTAAAAAGTAGCATTTAGTGGAAAATCCCACTAAACAAAGTGCACACGACTGTGTGAGACAACGCGAGTAATATTTAAAAAGCAATGGATGGTTTGGAAGTCGCTAACTTGAGCTGTTTTGCGGACTCGCTACAGCTTCTGATAGACGAGGGGCTGCTATTGCAGTGAAGTGTGAGTGACACTGTTGCCAGTGGGCATTTTAAGCATTCACCACTTGTGTATTCTCTCTTGGAGGATATAGCAAATGAACTGTTTCTAGTAGCCTAATTAAAGATTTTTTGGCATACATTTTTCATCTGTATTTACTAGTTAAAAATATTAACAATATTAATAATATATATGTAATGTGTTTCGGAATTGGATCGGAACTGAAAACATGTGGACCGGCCCATCCTTAGTGCATGGTTTTGAAAAATAAATAAATCCACCCCGAAGCCTGCAAATTTGGGATGTGACTTACTGACCATAGAATCATGTGGGTCTTGAGGTTAAACCCCTGCTGCAAGGTGTGATGTCATCAGTTTGGGGGGGAAATAGATCATTTGGTGCTGAGACGCTTGTTGACCTGACGGGATGTGAACCTCGCCTGAAGTAATTAACACTAAAGGACAGCGCTGCACACAGCTACCCCTTCCTATTGATTCTGATCCACTTTACCAACTTTTACATTTAGGCAAAAAGGGTTTGGGTTCACTGGACAGCATTTCCACCGGCCCGGGACATTTGAGTCTGTTTATCTCCTATTACACTGTCTGCCCCCTTCGTCTTTTCCCAGAGAGCTCCCTCACTCCCCACGAAACCTGCAGGCTCACCTGAACGCCACGGACAGCCGGACCGTCGACCTGACGTGGGTGCGCCCCTTTGACGGGAACAGCCCACTGTTGCACTACATCGTGGAGCTCTCTGAAAACAGTGAGTGCCCGGATGGAGACCACTCTCCAGAAATTTGCCGGACTGCCTCTCCTCCTTCCCACTGAATGCATCACCGTAGACTTTCCGATATCACAAACTTACGAGACCAAGCATCTCCAAACTTCTGCACCCCCGGGCGACACAGGATGTCTTTGGTTTTGCCGATGAGCTTCCTGGTTCGGACGGACCTCATGGTTTTGGCCCGGAGGCCTGTCCACTCGCCATGTCCTCAGAACCAGCTCTGTCTGGTCTTGGCTGGGTCTTCCTGTCTTTCACAGCTTAAGAGGATCACGTCAGGGTTCCTTACAGGGACACTTTAAACAGGATGGGGAATATTATGGCTGGCCTTTCTCCTGGTTCAGGGTCTATAGCACCAGCTTGCTGTTATTTACACACCAGCAAACGTAGGCAGCTCAGTACGCAAAATGTCATTGTTGGGATGTTTTACAATACATTTTAAAGGTTGAATGAGAGTGTACGAGTGTTTTACTCAATAACAGTTATTATTGATAGGGCATTTCTTTTGAAAAAAAGGAAAGTCTGTGAAGATATCCAGTTAACAAAGTCATTTATCCTGTGTGTCACACTTCTGTCTGCGATAACAGTGTTTCTAATAGTATCACAATAAGAAGATCTGTCTCCCAGCATTAAGCGGGGCTCTGGTAAAGCAAGGTCACTTTAAGGGTGTGAAATTCAGTGGCTGAGGAAGAAGTTAATCTGCATTTCTGTATCCAACATCCAAAACAGTTCACATTGCCAGCCTGTTTGGCAGACGGGCAGGAAGGGAGCTGTAAAAAAACGGCAGCGTCCCCACAGTGAAGCGTGATGTGTCACTGTCAGGCTTCTGTGCGTGTGTCTCCTCAGGACTGGGAAGCAGTGGAGGGGGGAAATATACACAAGGAACATTCCGGAGAAAAGCCCCTTTCTTTACCCTGTGCTGCAAATGGGTTTCAAAATACAGCTCTCTGCTGGCGAATGATTCAAAGCAGACAATCTTCAACTTGGATGCTGAAGAATGGGAAAGAGCAGTGGTCCTCAAGCTTTCAATCCAAGGACCCTCTGTGTCCAGGAAACCGTGTTTGCGCTGAAATCCTAAACATGCATTTTAAGGGGTTAGCCTTCGACAACATAAAACAAATACTGCAAATTATGATATTTCTTTCAATGTTTTAAAATTAAATGAAGTACGCCACTAACTCAATGAATTGGTTTTAGCTGTGAATTCTGTGTAACGTCACAATAAAAACTCCTGTGCTGTTTAGCACAAGGGACGAATACTATAGGTTTCTATTAAAAATATTTACTAATGCCCTCTTTATACTGCCTATTTAAAGTATATTGATATAAGTGGTGTTGTATCTTTTTTAAAAAAAATACCGATATGCCATAAAGCTAGTTATAGATTATCGCCAGCGCTAGCTTTAGCAGTGTTGTGTTTTTTATACGCTTTTCAGAAATAATGTGCGGGCGCCTTGCTCCTCACTGAGGCCCCCAGTTGGAAACTGCTGGGAGAGAGAACTTCTATTGCCAGTCAATGTCCGAATATAAACCCGATTGAGCCTCATGTCTGTCTGAGTCGGGGGAGAGGCTGTGCTACGAGGAGGGGACAGTGTACAAAGTTGGTAGAGACTTACCTAAAAAGATTTGTAGCTGTAATTGCAGTCAAAGGTGCTTTCAGCAAATATCGATTTGGTGGGAGTGGACAATTATGCAGTCGACACATTTCATTGTGTCCCCTTTAAGTTTGCGAGCATTATAGTGACTGAGGCTTCAAACTTATGTTTGAGAGCTTCGGGCGTGAACAGAAATAAGACTTTCCAAAGAGAGAAATGTGCTTTCATCATGTAGTAATTTCACAAAATCAAAGTCCAGGAAGAATATGAGGACCGTTGCAACACTGTTCAATGGAAATATGGTCTCTGTTTCTGTAACAGTGGGACCTACATGCACAGTGTATATTTATTAATTTTATTCCCACTTTCAAAGTAGAATTTACAGTGCTGTCCTTATTATAAATGGTATTCAGTCTCAGTACAAATAGATTTTCAGTGCTCGCTAGAATATTACATTCACATCTTGTATAAAAGTCACCTTTTTCTGTCATTTGTGTCACCAAAACCCCTATTCGATGAATGTGCAACGTTCTGATTCTTTTCTCAGTACTTTCTCCATAGGCCGTGTTTAATGACAAATGTTTTATTCTTCCGTTTTCTGCACTTAAGCTTCTCCTAGTGTTGGTGCAAATGAATCCTTTTGGCAAAACTGCTCTGTTAACGTTGTGACACATAAAGCCCAACTTGTCAGGTAAATACTCGTGTTTTATTGGCTCAGTCTCCGGAAAGAAAGCGGCGCTCCTGGAATTTGTCTTTATTGCCTGACCTCCTGTAAGCTTCAAACGAAGCTTCAGGGATGGATGGAGTAAACCTGTGTCTGAATTTGAGGAGGAACAGAGGGAGCGGAAATAGATCTCTGACAACCTCAGAAACGCCCATGTGCCTCTTATTACACCGTTATTTATTTTGTTATTTTTAGGCTAGATATGGGCTTGTTGGCTAGATAACAGCCTACGCTCCACCGGCAAGTTCATCAAGCTGACTTAATGGTCCCCTCTTACGCCCATAGGGTGTGGCAAAAGCTTTGTTTGTTGTTTGTTTGTTTGTTATTTATATGTTTTTACCTTTTTGATGTTTTGCATTTAGAGATAACACATTGTGATGATGTGCCACTTATGGAGCATGGAACAGAATCAGTTTTATTATCGTATTCATGCACCTAACAAATGTACATTAATGACTGTAGGTATGATAGACAGTAGTTTCATCCAAATTGATGGATGGATGGATGGACGGACGGATATAACAAGAGAAACACTGAGAGTTTGTGTGTAAGTAAAAGAAGCATTCTAGAGATCCAGCACGTAATTTTCCAAGCCTTAGGGGGAGGATAAGATTAACGGATTGTGCAGTTGTGTATATATATATATATATCTGCCACCTTAAGCTGCTTAGGAGCTTGTAGCCGTTGGTCATCAGGACACATGGAGCTACGTCAGCAGGGCCCCGCGGCCAGCAGAATGTCCCCCACTAACACGCCGCGTGCTGCCCGATAGCTGTGGGCGTCGACAGGGGCACGGGCGTGCAGGTGCGCAGACGGCCCGTTAAAATGGAGCTTTAAGCAAGTCGCGTTTGGAGACGATCAGTCGGCACGGAATGGCAAGCATTGTCACGGCAACACAGAAGCCGCATCCCGTGGCGGTTACAAACCATTCTACTGAGCGTTTGATCTCGGGAGTTTTCCGCCCGACGGCACGCAGGTGGCACAGAAAGAACCGGGGAGGCAGTATGAACCAATGGAAAGTGTACAGACAAAGATTAGCAGTCTATAAAAGGAGTGTTGTGCAATATAAGCTCTTCAGATTGTATCAGTCCTTTTACAATGTCTGGATGTTAAATGAACTGATATCTTAAAAAAAAAATAGAAATTACATCTATCCTCAGAATGGGGCCAGTTTAAGGTTAATTCTGTTTTACTTAATGCCTGACGTTACCATGACTGTCCATGGTTGAATGTGACACGGTGATTTATAATTACCCTATTTTAATAGATTTAAGTGATCTTTTTTCATTTGCAGTTAATGAAAGATCTCCTCTGACGTATCCTTTGATCTGAATTACATGCTGGTCCTTGAGCTGTTTCAGAGGGGTTGCGTGACTAAATTTTCCACAACATGCTGGTTCTGTATAAATTGCTGATTAACTTCTAGTAAACGCTCTGGCCAGGGAGCAGATATGTAGCAAGCTGTCTGGTTAAAATAGTGGTCTGTTAAAATATATGCAGTACTAGCAGTGTCGGATAAATTGGAAAGCTCTGTTCTACAGAAATTCAATTTTGTGATTGTTATTTTTTTTTTTTAAATAAACATGACTTTCCATTCTTTTGAAAAAAATACTTGTCTCTTCCCACTCTCATGGGGCCCAGATTGGTTGGATTTTTGGAAAATGAATAATTCATTCAGAAATTCTCCAAAGCTATTCACTCGCCTCTTCTTCGAGGGTGAAAGGGTGACACATCATAGTCTCTGTGACTCAAATCCAGATCACAGTAGGAACACATGCAAAAATAACATGGATCTATAAGATTAGGTGGAATGTCAGCTGACAAAATTATCGCATTGCCCTGTTCGGTTTTCGTTTATCTATTTGTACAAACTGACACGCTGTTATTACTCTGCACTGTCATTACGCTGTTATACACAATCTTTAGTCATCGACAGATATTGACTCGTGTGAAAAACGTGCATCCTTCCCCCGTGAACACGAAACCCTCCCTGTTTATTTTCCAGACTCTCCGTGGAAGATTTACTTGCCCAAAGTGAATCCGACGCTGACGCGGGTACTGGTGAGAGGTCTGACCCCTGCGCGCACCTACCAGTTCAGGGTGTGCGCCATCAACCAGGTGGGGAGGGGGCAATACAGCGCCGAGACCAACAGGTACGGGGCCCTGCTCCACACCTCCTGCCCAGAGTTCCTCACACGTCTGTCCTTGTAGATCCTGTGATCCGTCTGTTCATCAAGGCGCAGTGGAAAATTGCCTTCTCCCTCTGCCATCAAAATACACCATATTAACATGAAACATTGATAATTCTGTCAGCAGCGTACATTTGAAATAATTACATAGATTTTAGTTGCATTTCCTCTCTGGAGGGACGCCTGTACCGCGGTTTCTGTGTTCACCCCACCTTGCTGTAATTGGTATATATCCGCAAAGTGAATGAATCATCGGATCGACTCTATTTTAGGTGTGACTCCCCTTTCACTCAGAGTAATGGTGTCTCGCTCATTGCAATGAGGCAGCGTTCGGCCTGTCAGCTGTCGCCCCTGCATTGTCAGTGTTACCACTCTTCCTTGAGCTATTGAGGTGGCATTTTGGTCTTGAAAAGGGCGGCAGTTTTTTTTTCATTATTACAAGAGCACAAGGTCTCCATTTACCCAGAAATGAGCAATTTATATTCATCAGGCATTATTGAACTGAGCTTCTTTAGATTTCACATTGCCCGTGTTTGCCAAAAGTCGTCACACATCCTCTGAGGGGACGGAGTCATCACCCACGGCGTTGATTTAGCACCGATGAAGGTGAAGTTGCTCTACGTCCCAGACTGCCGTGAAGTGGCGAAAATAGCGGTTGGTGTGTGGAGAAAGGGCATCGTGCCCTAGAAAAAAGCTAAGAGACCACTTTGCTGAGCTGGGAGTGGATTTTGATTGGAATCCAACATTGAGAAGCCTTGTGTCTTTGAACACTAGCTTGATGCTCTCAGCTTGATTCTAGAGGCTCCTCTCCAATCACAGGAATTATACCGAATACTCACTGCCATAACTGCGTCTCTAGACAATCACAATCAGGGATCTGGGCACTCTTTGCTCATTTCCTACCCTGCCTTTGCTCACCTTATGTGGACCAGCATGATAGAGTCACACGCAAGACTTTGCTAGTAATAAATGGGTCTAGCACATATTGAACACAGTGGTGTAAGAAGGATCAAAGATATGTAGCACAAGTCAAAAGTGTGGACATGCCAAGTTACCTACAAAGGAGAGTGATAGTGTCGCATCACATGACCTGGCCACCTGACCTAAACACTGCTTTTGGTGGAAAGAAATGGTTTTGGAGGAGTTTGACCAGAGAGTGAAGAAAAGCGGTCAATGAGTGCTCAGCATATATGGCAGCTCCTTCAGCTGGAGAAACATCTAAGGAGGCCACCTCATGAAACTGGCATGGTCAGCCAGTCCAAGAAGCAATTGGTTTATGGGGTTTAAGGGCATCGCTTAAGGACCCATGTGGGATCACTATGCCAACCCAGGGATTTGAACTAGCAACCCTTTGAATTCAAACCCACAGAGCTGACCCCCCCCCAACAAATAAATTTTCTTGGTTAATACTTTGTTGGTAAGTGCATAATCCAATTCTGTAATATGGTTTTGATGTCTTTATTATTAGATGTAGAGAATAGTACACATAAACCTTTCTATGGATAGGTGTGTCCAAACTTTTGACTGGTTTTGTGATTTTTCAGAAGAGCAAAGCTTAGTTAAAAGCAATACATGCATTTTTAAATTGAATCGATACACCAGATTTATTTAACATTTGCCCTAAAACCCTAGACATAAACACTGTGATTGATCTGGAAGTGAAGGCTAAAGAAGGGCTGCATTTCTCGTTCCTACCTGAGGGGCCAAAATTGTAGTTCAATATAAAAATCCATACTGGGTGCCTTTAATAACACATTATAATTTTGTAATTTCTCATGTTGGGAGAGGGTAATGGATTTACAAAAACAAGCATGCTCTGCTATCAGTTGAACCTTGGGTAAGTGAACAAAAGATTAAAATAAAAAACTTTTGTAGAAGATGAAAAACAACCTTATTCTAACGGGTGACTCCACAAGGGAAAAAAAAATTCAAGCAACTCCTGATTTGAAAACTTTTGTATAAACGCAAACCTCACCCCCATCATGAATAAACATAGCTTTTTCTACAGCACTGATTTGAATGTGAGAAAAATAACACTGAAAGTTTATCAAAAATGTTGCCTTTGAATATAAATTTCTAGACAACTCTGTTTACACTAATCATGCATAATGCAAGTGCTGGAATATTTTTTTCTACTGTGACTTTTGGTTGAGTCCAAAAAGCTAAATTAGGTGTTACATGCAAAGTGCTTCTTACATTGCAAAAGTTGAGCCAAGCAGAAACCCAACAGTCCAATTTGATCAACAGAATAATCTTTGTTAAGTTTATAAGATTTGTGATCACTGTGTATTCAGTGTTGTAGATTTGTGCCAATTATCAAAACATTTTGCATGCTCTCGGCAAAGTCAATACTGTTGTGAAAAAAACAGTAAATGTATTGTTTTTTTCGAGGTGTTTTTCTTTTCAGCGTGTGCCATTGATTTAGCCAGGCTTTCCTTACGTGTCATAAGTACATGCTTTACACTATCCACCATGACACTTTGACTATGGGGCTACTGTGTAGGGATCCTGCTTGGACAGATATGCCATTTGTGGACCACACTGTCCAGGGAAAGTTGTGTTGGACTGTAAAGTTTGTGTTTTATATCTCACTTTGATCAGCATCGTAACTTAAGAGCTGGGCCACGCGGTCAGATTAGCAGGCTGTCACGCTGGCCTCGTCTATGCTAAAGGCACTTTGCATGGTTCCATTCGCCGGGAAGAGCGGGGCGAATCTGCGGAGCGCCCATGAAGGAGGCACCGTGAGAGGCGGGGGAGATGCTGAGGGATGGGGGTGGGGGTGGAGAGGGGCTTTCCCGAAGGGGAAACACCTCTGGGCAAGCCTTACTCTCATTCTGAACCGAGGGCATCAGTTAAGGAAAGGATGCCTTGCAGGGAAGAGAAAATAATTACGGATATGAGGAGAGGGTGACCCTAAATGTGAAATAATCTAACGATTTCTCATTAAGTCCTGGGGAAAACGAGTGCATCACGGTGATAGGCGTCGATACGGATTAAACGATCCGCTAGCAGGATCATATGCAGTTTGCTATACAGGACGAGCAAGAGGAAAAAATAAATAAAAGCACCTAGAGGAGGTGGCTTGGCTGTACCCTACAAGTATTTCCATTGTCAAAACATCGCACATGATCAGAGGCAAACACGGCAAGGGGGACCAAGTTGTCATGCCTGTTGCCAGTAATTAAACTCGAATACACAAATGTGGCAGAGAAATACAAATCAGATATGGGCTGTAATTTAGATAGGGAATGTAATAATCTGCTATTGAGTCAGTTCGCACACCTCAGGCGTTCAAGCGAGGATCTTAAAAGGGCAACCACTGCAAGCCTCTTATCAACACTGAGCACGCCGTTCTGCGATATTCATTAAATGCTAATTGGGTTTTACTGTTTTAAATGCTATTTTATACTATCTTTGCTCTCTGCAGACGTTTCCCGTGCTTCTGTTTTGAGAACCATCGCTGTGTTTTTATTTTTGTCGAGGAGCAGCATCTGTGCTTTTCGTAGACAAAGCAAGACATTGGCCCCCAGATGTTCTTGTGATAAATGAACTGACCATTAGTCATGGGGGTCAGCTGGGAACGTGTCATCCAGTTCCTCAAATGCCGCCACACTAGAGCCTTAGTACGGACTATGGTTGTAGGCATCTTCCATTAGCCTCCAGAGGGGGGCGCTGTGGCAGAATGGAAAGTAGCCTGCAGGCAGATCTCTGTATTCTCCAGCTCCTCTGAAAACCTTGGGCACTGTACCCTAATGCTGTCCCTAACTGCTCTTTACCGTCCTGTAGGCTAATGCTACGAGAGGAGGCTCCAAGTGCCCCTCCCAAAAACATTGTGGCCAGCGGCAGGACCAACCAATCCATAATGGTGCAGTGGCAGCCCCCACCGGAACCCGAGCTGAATGGAGTGCTCAGGGGGTACGTGCTCAGGTAAGCTTCTCAGATGAACAGATTCTAACAGCCATTCATTTCTTCTAATGTGATAAGCTCAGCAAGTAAGGGATCTGTGCTTGTGTCCAGAAGGTTCTTGGGTTAGAATCCTGTTGCCCATAGAGTAATCATCATGAGGAAGCCCCTTATCTGCAGCTGCTCCTGGATTCCTGCACACTGGCTGACCCTGTGCTCTGACCCCTGACCTCTCACCTGTGTATACAGTCATTCCTCATTTCCCCCAACACGGAGTTGGTGCTGGTTCTGGTGCTGGTGCCAGTGCCGGGCTGGTTCTCGTTTGGTGCCTTTTGAGAACCAGCCTGCGTTTCCACTGGTTTAAAAAAAAAAACGGAACAGAAATGTTACATAGGCGGAAGTGAAAGTAAAGTAAAGGTTAATCTGTATTTAGTTTTTTGGGTTTATTTTACCGAACCGAAAAAAAGTGTCCAGAGTATGACTCCTTGCGTCCTGTCTCTATTGCCTGTATCCACTTTAGTCTCTGTGTGTGAGTTTCTTCTCGCTCGCTCTTTTACCGCGGTCCTTCAGGATCGTGCAGTAAAAGTCTGCTAAATATAAAAATTTGCAGTCCGCCTCATGAACTCTTCACCACTCGAATGGCACGATATTTTATTTATTCAACCTGTGACAAATTTATACTTTATTGTTAAACATATTTATGCTTTATTATTCGATCCGGCCAGCAGATCAATCTTTCGTTTTTCACAGGAAAAAAAAAGTAACGTTACATAATTTTTGTGATTTATACAAATGTTTTAGTGCAAGTTAATAGTTTACGTAAAATATCTTATTTTCAACAAATACAATCCATACTATTTTAAAGTATTTTACGATGCTTTGTCTCCGTGAAGGCCCCCCTGTCTGCGAGTGTTAGTTTATTCCTGCTTGCTGTTTTACTGCTGTCCTTTTAAGGATCATGCAGTAATGCTAAAAACTGGACTTTTTCATGATTTGTTCACCACTCAAACGCCATAATATTTTATTTATTCAACCTGTGACATATTTATACTTTATTATAAAATCTGGCCAGCAGAATTTTAAAAATTATGTTATTCTACGAATAAGCTGGCAAGTCATTTCACTTCTAGCACCACCTTTATTACACTAATGATAACGGTAATTGGATTGAATTTTCTGGGTATGTGGAAGGTTTGGACGCCAAAGCCCATCCCACTTTCTGAGCCCAGCTTTTCTGTGCTGCCGTGCTGGAGCCATTCTTTCTGGCCCAGGACCATATGTTTTGCGGTGGAAACACATGGAACCAGTGCTAGATTAGGAAAAAGTCCTGCACCAGTACCGTTGGTGGAAATGAGGCTTCAATGACCACTTTATTAGGTACACCTTGCTAGTACTTTGTTGGACCCCCTTTCGCCTTCAGAGCTGCCTTAAATCTTTGTGGCATAAATTCAACAAAGTGCTTGAAATGTTCCCAGAGACTTTGGTCCATGTTGACATGACATCATAACGCAGCTGCTGCAGACTTGTCAGCACCACCTTCATGATGTGAATCTCCCGTTCCATCACATCCCATAGGTGCTCAATTGGATTGAGATCTGGTGACTATGGAGGCCGGTTGAGTACAGTGACCTCATTGTCATGTTCCAAGAAACTAGTTTGAGATTTTATGAGCTTTGCGACATGGCGAGTTATCCTGCTGGAAGTAGCCATTAGATGCTGGGTTCTCTGTGGTCATAAAGGGATGGACATGGTCAGCAACAATACTCAGGTAGGCTGTGGCATTTAAATGCTCAATTGGTACTAAGGCCCCCAAAGGGGGCCAAGAAAACATCCCCCACACCATTATATCACCACCAGCCTGAATTGTTGGTACAAGGCAGGATGGATCCATGCTTTTATGTTGTTTACGCCTACTATCTGAATGTCACAGCAGGTATCGAGACTCATCCCGCCAGACAACGTTTTTCTAATCTTCCATTGTCCAATTTTGGTGAGCCCGTGCCCACTGTGGTCTCCGTTTCCTGTTCTTAGCTGGCAGGAGTAGCGCCTGGTGTGATCTTTAGATGTTGTAGCCCTTCTGCTTCAATGTGTCAGGCGCTCAGGGATGGTGTTCTGCATACGTTGTTGGTGATGAGTGGTTATTTGAGTTACTGTTGCCTTTCTATCAGCTTAAACTAGTCTGGCCATTCTTCTCTGACCTCTGCCATCAACATGGCATTTTCACCAAAGTAACCGCTGCTCACTGGATGTTTTTCTTTTTTGACCCATTGTCTCTAAACCATAAAGATGATTGTACATGAAAGTCACAGTATATCAGCAGTTTCTGAAATACCAGCCCGTCTGGCACCAATAACCATGCTACATTCAAAGTCCCCTAAATCACCTTTCTTCCCCATTCTGCTGTTTGATGTGAACATTTACTGAAGCTCCTAACCTGTATCTGCATGATTTTATACATTGTGCTGCTGACATATGATTTGCCGATTAAATATTTGCTTCAATGAGAAATTGAACAGGTGTACCTAAAATAGTGACCAATCAGCATATATCTGTATCTGTCATGGAGAGCCGGGGGGGGGTGGATAAATTACTTCTATCCTAAATTTTTTGCTCAGTCATTTGCTGATGTAAATGTGGGGCCAAAGATCAAAGCAGTGATAAGTCACCAGCCAAACAGGAAAAATAAGCGGGGAAAAGGCTCTGCAGCTGAAAGCTCGGGCGCGGGTGTGGGGTGGGGGGGGGGGGTCAGGCACTTTGTCCCCGGGCTAGAAACCGCAGTCGGGCTGGTGTAAACAGCTCAGGTCCCCTTTTTAATGGCGCTGCCTTCTGAGCTGTCGGGGAAATGGATTGGCTTGCGAGCGCTGAAGCCGCCGGGCCCCCACTGTCCGGGCCAGAGAAAAACAGCAGCTCGCATGGGCTGCCACTGACTCAGCCCCACCCACCTTGGTGGTCGGACTCGAGCCCCCAGAGCGGAGGGCAAGGGAAAGGCTGCAGGCTGGGGGGCATGCAGATGCAAGTTAATGGCTCAGTGGAGACTCACTGGTTTTGCTGACTCTCAAACAATATGCATCTTTGTGGGGGGGGGGGGTTCCTTCTAAGGCTTCCTACATGTAATAGGATTTCCCTGAACAGAAGAACAGTACTTCATAGCTCAAAAAGTATATTACACTCCTATATTGTTGATTATTTTCAATGCGCCATTGTCTGCGGTCCTTAACCATTGTTTTAGTGTGAATGAATGGCACAGCCTGATATTCAGTCTGAAATAATCTGTCAGTACAGATATACTCGTAAGGTAGATGGAAAGCGGGGGGTGTTAAATTAGACCCTGTGAAGTGGTTCTGTAATTAGATCGTGCAGTGATAGGGCTTTTTTTCACTCACAGGTATCGCCTTGCTGGCCTTCCTGGAGAATATCAGCAGAAGAACATCACCAGCCCCGAGATTAACTACTGCCTGATTAGGGACCTCATCATCTGGACGCAGTATGAGATCCAGGTGGCGGCGTACACAGGCAGGGGCCTGGGCGTCTACAGCCAGCCAGTGACGGAGTACACGCTTCAGGGAGGTGAGGATCGCCACTCGTGCCCCGCTTTGACGCACTCACCTCCAAGGTGTTGTGGCGCTCAGTGATGGAGTACACGCTTCAGGGAGGTGAGGATCGCCACTCGTGCCCCGCTTTGACGCACTCACCTCCAAGGTG